ATCTTGAACTAAAATAGTTTGTCTTCTTTTTTTTTTTTTTTTTCCTTTTAATGCTCGAAAGGTTTTAATTTATATTAAGTCTATTGGAGCTACCCATGAAAATAGTAATTGAGTAGCTTTTTGGGTTGACCTATTTCTTTTCTCTATTTCTATTGTGTTGCATCAAATATGTTTTGCTTTCTCTATCTTACCGTGATCAATTTTAGGTGTTTTGTTAATGTGGGGTCGTGAAACATGCATTACTTCTTTGCATCAAAATTTTATTTTCACTAACGAGGGGTTGGATCAAGTGGTAAGCGGCTTGTTCCAGCTTAAGTAAGGTCTCGAGTTCGAGACCTTGTGTACGCAGCAGCCTCCGCTGGGAGGGGAGACTCACCCACCATTTTCAGGTGCGCGACGCGGGTCGGGTCCGGATTAGTCAGGGCGAAGCCCCAGATACCGGGCGGGAAACCAAAAAAAAAAATCAAAATTTTATTTTCATAAGTAGAATTGGCAAAAAATTAAAATGAGGAGATTATTTCTTTTTAGCAAGGGTAGACTTTATTTATTCCCTTATATTATCAATTGAAACTTAATGATTTAAGGCTATAATTTTTTTTTTTTTTGAAAGACCAAAACTGCTGCAATTATATGGGGTTCATACATCGTGGGATATCCAAGGAACATAATGAATGTCATTTTTCATTTTTTCTTATTAGGCTTGTTTTGTAAATTAAGTTCATTCATTTTTGTTTACTCTTGTTGGTTGGTCATTCTTTATTGAAGCCCAACTTTCTGGCTTCGTGTGTTTGAAGGCTAGTGAGGTGACAATTTGAAAATAAACATTTTTGTAATATATCTTACTTTTATTTATTTCAGTTGATAAATCAGAATTCTTCACATGTGTAATTCAGCATGGAGGAAAGATAGTGCATGATGAAAAGAAAGGCATAGAGTATAAGGGTGGAAAAGTTATGTTGACTTGATAAATGTTGATAAGATTTCTTGGCTTGAATTAGAGGACATGCACATGCTTGAGATATTAGGGCATAATATTGAAGATGTGAATTGTTTTTGGTTAAAGCCAAGTTTGAAACTTATTGAGGGTCTTATCAAAATGATCTATGATAAAACAGTAATGGATATGGTTGCACACTTACCTTCTAATCATTATGCACATGTTTATGTGGAGGTGAAGTCAAATCATGATTGGGATAGAAATGAAGAGAACAATGTTGACAATGCTAGTGATGATGTTAACAATAAAAATAGTGACATGCCACCTTTACACCACCAGTTATAAGAAGAGTAGCTGGAAGGCCAAAGAAAGCAAGGAGAAAAGCTACAGATGAAAAGGAAAAACAACCTAGAAAAAAGGGAAGGAAATGGGTTAAAATGAGATGTACTTTATGTGGCAATGTTGGCCATAACAAGAGGAGTTGTAGACCTCAACCTGAGGACCAAAGGAATCTCAATGTTGGATCTGAGCAACCTAAAAGGGGCAAGTTACCAATAATTTATTTTACTTCAATTGTTTAAAAGAAATTCAAAAATCTTAAATGCCATTTTTTTTTACTTGACATGTTTTTTTGTTTGGAAGGTTAAGAAGGCACCTATCATAAATGAAGCATTAGTTCTTAACTTAAGTGATCAAAACAATTCTCAAAGTCAAGTAACCGCTAGATGGTTTGCCAACGTGAATTTGGTGGTTTGTTGGCAAAAGTTTTTTCATATTAATTTGATTAATTGGAAAATAATCTTTACCCTCTCTTTATATTTTTTAATCTAGGGGTCTAGTCAAATAGTGTATAGGTCACCAAATGCTGCTCCTGTCATTGTTAATCATCCACCAACTCAAGCTTATGCAACTTCATTTGAAGCTCCTTCAAACTTATTTCATTCTTATGCTTCATGCCAA